AATCCCCTTCTCCATGCAATCATACAGTTCTAAGAAAAATATTCCTCGGTGATGATTCTCTTTCATTCGCACTTGAAATGAAATGGCACGATCCTCTTCTGCTGGCCTCAATGCCAGTAGTCGGTATAGCGAACTATAACAGAATGGTCGAGTTTGGACTCTGCGTAAACAGTATGCTGGATCCACTTGAGTTTACAGAGTCATTCCGTCAAGCTGTCAGCCTTCGCGGTCAACGTTCATAACCCACGCAAATAAAAGTAGCCATCGCTTTTCTTGGGATTTTGCCATCCTCGAGAATCACGTTAGCAATACCTAATCGATCATCAAAACTCTTGTTTTCGAACGACAACACATTCGAAGCACTAAATTCCAATCCTCACACTCCAATGATTGGATTCCACCACGCCTCCTCTGGTCCACTTATCAGCTGCCCTAGACGTTCGAATGATTCCACACATTCGGGACCTCTCGATTGTCTAATCTCGATGAGGCATCCTGACGTTGGTCACTAGAAAGCTATGGTGCATAAACGCAAATCTCATCCATCGACGAGATAGTTCGCATAAGGTGCTAACTCGAAACTTTTAGAGGGAAAAATTTCTAGAGTCATAACTAATCCCAAATGCGACTAGAGTTCACCCAATAAACACTAGAATTGGAATCGTAACAAGGTGGTTAGTCCTAAGACCCAATAATATGAACAAAACAACAAACTCATACCTCGAGTTGGCACGACAAGACGAAAGCGAGTGGTAAATGGTCATTACAAACACTAACATTATAGATAGTCTACAGAAACGCAGACTAGCTCTGATACCATACTGTAACGCCCGTTTTATTTTAAAGAGTTTACAGAATTTATTTATAAAATCAGAATAAATTTTTCGCAAAATTCTAATTTAAAACTTTAATCATTAACGGGTGTTACTTAACCGCTAACAAAATAAACAATTAAGTACATCCACAAAGAACCTACACATGCATATTAACGATCAATATAATCAAACCAAGTTATTATAAGTCTCGAAAAACATTCAAAGGTTTAACAATGATCCAAAAGTTTCAAACCAACATGTTTCTAATGAAAATGGAAGTATAATAGTTCGATGAAAAGCCAACAATCTAACATAGATAATAGCGGAAGCAAAAGAAGCCAAAGACACAATATATCCATGACCACTACTCACTCGTCCCTCGCTGCCGCCGCCAACCATGCTCAACCTAGAGATAGGAAGAGGAAACAAGAGGATAAAACAAACAATGGGGGGGGGGAGGGAGAAAAACAACCATGCTCACCAATATCACACATTATATTTCGCATAAAGATCCAAAACCATAATTAAAGTATGCATAGAATCCAAGCTCTAATTCCCTATATGGCCCTATCGCAAACTTCCTATGTACCTACAACAACCTTCCGATCAGACATCGACAAGGAGTAACCAGAAATCTTCCCACCCCGGCTCGACGCGGGCTAAGGGATCCTTTCCAGGAGACAGTGGAGCTGATTTACCCCTCCACTTTACACGGATTCGGGCATCCAGTTTTTCCCCTCCGCTCGACACAAATTCAGGCGTCCACCTCCCGGATACAACGGGCAGGTGACCTCCACTGATTATGCATTCATCAAAGGCACTATCGACGGGATACTTAGACTAGGGTTCTCATGCATACAATAGCTATCGAAACGAACATTTTTACGAAATAACAAGTGCGATAAATATAGACACAACAATTGTGCCCACCTGAAAGCAGCGACAAACACAAACCGAGGCTCGAGTAAGTGGTGAGGTCAACACCTCAAAACACCTACACGAAATCAAGATAGCCTCTTGATTACAAACAAATCCAACAAATACCCAAACTTAGTCGAAACACTTCAACTAAGTCGCTCGTGGAAAGTCTCGTGGAGTTATGGAACAATTGACACAACTCGGGACAAGGTATGGGAAAGACATATAATAGTCAAATAGGGGTTGACCAAGTCAACCAAAAGTCAAAGGAGGTCGACTGCGGTCAACGGTTCGGGAAAAAAGTTCGAAAATCAGGGTACTAATCGGGTTATTAGAAAAATCCACCCGAGGGTTTGATTCCATATATCGAACACATACAACACATCAATAGGAAGCAACATTCATGAAAATCACATAAAATCTCATACTTAACACAGTGAACCAACGTTTGTATAATAAGACAAGTAAAACACATTTTTAGTACGACCAGATAAACGAATGAGTTTTAACAAAAAATTTAAACACATAATATAACATGCTGAACAAAATCAATTCACCAAGTTTCAGCCTCAAAACTTAAACAAGTGATTTTATAAAAATAAAGCAAGTTTTCAACAAAAATGAGCATGGGTTTATTGACTGACCAAACAGATGATTCATGACTTAGAAATTTTACACAAGTAACTACATCATGCTGGTAACAACATATAATTTTTGTAGGTATAAACTCAGAACAGACGAATTATGAAAATTGTTACAAGTTTCAGCCAAAAACACGATTTTAACAAAAACCTAACAAAACGAATCCAAATATTTATGGGATTTTACTGCATCAAATATCACATAAAATAAGCATAATGACCAAGTTTCATGCATTTACATTAAGAATCCGATTTTATATGATTTTATCAAGTTTTTGTAGATTTGAACAATTAAACATTTAACTAAGAAAACTAACTCCAAAATTTATAAAAATTTAACACGAAGTAAATACATACATGGGAGAAACATATTCAAAATTCAGAATTTTTGGGCCACCATACGATTTATCATGCATTTAACAAGTTGCAACAGACACATGAACTTCAAAAATCCATATCTTGAAAAATACAAATCCAAATTGCAAAAGGTCAAAACTATTGTGCTCAAGACACAAAAATGTTCCATAATCCAAGAGGTAACCACGAGTTTCAGTCAGATGCTAAGGGTCTTACCTTTAAACCCTAAGATCTATTATTACACAATTCAAAAATTATCATATTATATCATATATAATCCAATTATTCGAACATATATTATAATCAACAATTTAACATATAAACACATAGAAATATTGGAGTTTAGCATAATTTGCCAAACACCAAAAGGGGATGACGAACGAGGCGCAGTCGTGGCTCGGTTGGATCCTACGGGCGGGGAAATCGTCCGCATGTGCTCGGCGTTCGAAGGCAGCTCGCATGTCGAATGTGAAGTCCTTCGGTGGCTTGTGATCGTAGAACGAACGTTGAACGGGAGGGGTTTTTTCAACGTTAGGGTGAGTTTTTCCAGTGAAATGAGAGATGAGTGAGAGTGAGAGAAGCTCTGAATTTTTGAGTAAGGGAATAAGGGGGAGAGATGAGTGAAAACGTGTGGGAGAAGAAGTGGGGAGTGAAGAGGGGTCTTCCCTTATTTAAGGTACTCCATAAATGTTGTAACACCCTAATAACTTGGTCAAAGCAT